TTGCTTGTTTGTCCCGCATCCCGACCGATGTTCAGGACCAATGTTTGGTCGGGACACTGGACAAACAAGCAATTTTGCCCTCCGCTCCTGCGCACAGGCGGAGCCCGGAGGGGCTCGCACCCTCCCTCGCCCCGACTCCGCCCTCTCCTTCCCCGATTGGATCCCTCCCCAATCCCCGCCCTGGCTCTGCCCCCAGCCCCACCCCCTCACTGCCCCATTGGATCCCTCCCCAAATCCCCACCTCTTCCCCAAGCACGCCATTCCTCTTCCCTCCCAGGCTTGCGCTGATCAGCTGTATGGCGGCGCAAGCGCTGGAGGGAGGCCCCGGGGACGCAGGGGAGCGCGGGGTGAGTGAATCCGGCCTGGCCCCGAGAGCAGGCAGGAGGGTGGGGCAATACCTGCAGGGGCAGCCCCTGGTCCAGCCTGGGGAACCGGCTCCCTGTACGTGCCCATGGGTGGGGGTGGAGGTGGAGGTGGGGGGCAGCAGCTGCCCACGCGGGGACTCCGATAGGGCTTCACCTCCCGCCACGTGGAGGTAGCGGCAGCCCCGTTCGTTCCCCTGCGGGACCCGAGCGGGACGGGGGGCTGGGGCCTGCTGCCCCCACTCTGGGGCCCCCCGCAGTGCTCTGCGGGGCCCGGGCACACTCGGGGTGATGGGATTGTGCCGCCCTGCAGGGCGGGCTGTAGGGAAAGCCCACCCCGGGGCAGAGGCAGCGGCAGCCCTGTTTGTTCCCCTGTGGGACCCAAGCAGGACTGGGGGGCTGGGGTCTGATGCCCCCACTCTGGGGCCGCCCGCGGGATTGCACCAGCTGGGCACCTTCCCCTACGGGGGAGGTGGAGACGAGGTGAGCTGGTGCGGGGGGGGGGGGGCGCTCCGGTGGCTTTTTTTTTTCTTTCTCCGCTGCCCTCCTCCCCCCCACCGCATCCTGATATTTCAGTTTTGTCATCTGGTCACCCTAGTCCCTTCCATTCCTTGGTTGAACGCTGGGGAAGTGGCTCAGGATGGCTGAGCCAAAGTTGTACTTTAGTTACTGTTTTTTGATAAATGTTTGGCTGTGCGTGGATTCTCTCTGCCATACAGGAAAGCTGAGGTTTCTCAAGTGGCCACTAATGCTGGGTGCCTGGGGCCTGACTTTCAGAGATGCTGAGGAGTCCCAACTGGCTTCAGATGAAGTTGTGAGTCCTGGAAAATCAGTGCCCCAAGCTGCCCAAGATGAATGGGCACTTTTGAAAATTAAGGCTCAACTCTGTAGCAGGGACAGAAGCAAAATCCAGTTGTGGTTTAAGAGGGATTATCTTATAAGAAGGGAAGCAAATGCTGTGTGAGTCTGTGGGATGAAAAGCTTCATGAAAGTGATGCCTTGTGGGTACTCCTGTCAGCCTCCATGTAAAAAAAGATCCAGGGAATAGAGCTGTAATGAGTTTTATCAGCCAGATCACCTCCTTGCTGGTCCCCAGATGTGACTTCTGTAATATTCCACAGCTCTGAATTTTTTAAAATTTCAATTATGTTGCTTATTTGGAAAGTGAGAGATGTTGATGCAATCAAGGTTCACTGAAAAGGATCAGGGACAAATTAAAGGAGTATGTGGCATCAAGCCTAGAGAAACATTTGCAGCTCTGAAATATAGAACAGTGTCTGATATTTATTTGACTGGCCACTACTCCACTAAATACTGTGGGAGCCTGAGACCCTTTCTGTGGGGGTGCCCCCTGCTCCTGAAGAACAGCCAAAGGTTCAGAGAAGTTTTTTTATCAAAACATCAGCAAAAGTCTGCTGTAATTGCCTCCTTCCCTCCTCTCTGAACTGGCAACGACCAAGACCAACAGCTGTTCCAGAGCGAACAAGAAATAAAGAACATGCAGCAGGTGGTACCTCTAATTCCAGCCCCACAAGTTGCTATCTAGTTACAGAAGGGTGGAGAATGTGATTGTGAATCAGTCAGGGGAGTGGGAATGTGAAAGCAGCAGGGCTGGCTCAAGAAATTAGCCATTTTAGAGAGGTGGATTATTTTTATTCTTACTTGTGGCTTTAGGGCAGACTTTTCTTCCCCTCTTTATCCTCCCCTTTTCCTTAGCGATTTCATCATCTCCAAAATCTGGCTGTGAGCTAGCTAGCTGCCACACACAACATTCAAATGGCTGTGTCAGATAGCGTGAGTTATACTGTGCCCTTACTGATCTAACTGATGAACGTGCTGCATTCATGGCAAGGTGGCTTTTTTGGGGACTGTGCCTCCTCTCTCGCACTCAGTTGTTTTACAGCACCAGTGTAAGACCATTCACGTAATGGAGTCTCTCCTGATTTATACTAGTCTATATGAGAGGAAAATCAATTTACTGGAGTACTTAGTGTACTAACTAACATTGCCATTCACTGAGCTCAACGCCATTATGAAAACCACCACAAAGCAGTATCACCAATGGTGACTAAGTTGTAGCTTTCTCTGTCTCTGGTCAAAGCAAGACCCAGTGAGTTGCATCGTACTGTAGATAGGGACTCTACAGTATGGATGCAACTCACTGGGTCTTGCTTTGACCAGAGACAGAGAAAGCTACAACTTAGTCACCATTGGTGATGATGCTTTGTGGTGGTTTTCATAATGGCGCTGAGCTCAGTGAATGACAATGTTAGTTAGTCATACTGACTCAGCATCGTAGGGTCTTGTCAGGACATCGGGCGGCCATGATTATACTGTTGCTATCTCAGACTCCATTCAGAGACTGTGTGGGTGAACTTAACGGCACTGCATACCACACTTGCGGTCTTTGGGTAGGATGGAAATACTCCAGGGGAGTGGGGTGGGAGTCCACAGCACAGTTAAGAAGCCTCTGTTTACTTAGTTCTTCTTTTAATCTCTCCACCTGTTCATCATCTGGTGATTTCCCCCTCACCCTGCCTTTCTTCCAATTTTTAAAGGGGGCACAGAGCTGACAGGATATTGCTCTCAGTACAGGCTGTCATTTTGGGATAATAAATGTGGGTCCATCCCTGAAACTGAACACACAATAATTGCCACAACTTTTGTGTTAATCACCAATAGCCAAGTGTGAATTTAATATCCACTCATCTCTAGTTCAGAGGGAATACCACTGTGGTACAGCCATATTTGTAGACACTTTACTTGCTGGTCTTGACTTGAGGGGACCACCAATGCTTAACAGACCTGGCTGTTTTCATATGCAAATAATATGCAATTTTTTAAAATGTTTTAAACATACTGTGCGTGTGTGAGTGGCAGGTGCTTCACTCCTAAGAGTGAAATAAAATGGAATCATAGACTCACTAGAATATAATCTACAGAGTGAGATGAAGTAAAGGACAAGAAAAACGAAATTAGATTTGGCATGAGGCAATGATGTGTTTCTAAACTGTTTAGTAACGTTTTACGAAATGAAAGGGTCTAACTCTACCAGATTAAATTTTCTTTGCTCAACATTTAATATTGTTTCAATTGCCTTGGAATAGGAACTTGAAGAATCTGATACATGTTGTGGTAGATTATTATTATTATTTTTTTTTACTTGACAAGTTAAAATGCCATGTCTGAGTCACCCCACCCCATGGGCTAATGGTCAGCATTTCCGTTCTCTTCCTGCCCTCATTTTTCCGTGTCCCATATCTTTGCCATTTCTGAACTGTACTCTTCTGAACTTTATACCTAGCACTTCTGTGTCTGTGCGTGCCTATGGGAGGGCAAGTAGGGAGATCATGACAGCACTGTTTCCATTGTGCTTCTTTTAAAAGTGTGATGTAAGTGAGTTGGATCAAATTCTGCTCTAAGTAGTACATATGGAACTACCCTGACTCTAGTGGGGTTGCATGGCTGTAACTGAGGGCACAGTTTCTGAGGCCCAGACAAACTAAAGGTTGAGTGGGATATTTGTTATTATGGTGACTTGTTTAAGTAACTTGCTTGGATTTATGCTAATTACCTTGTTTAAAACTGCTTACTAATCATGTTTTTTATTTCTGCTGAGTCATCAGACCATCTTACCCAAATGTATTGATGAGTAAACTGAATGCAAAGAAGTGAAGCTTCTTAGGCCAAGTTTACATAGGTATTTAGGTGCCTAAAGATGCAGATGGGTGTCTAGAAAGATCCACAAATGCATCTAAGCAACTTGGGCATCTAACTCCCCTGACTTAACTGTAGTAGTAAATCTACAAAGTGCCCAGATGCATCTTTAGGCACCTAAATACCTTTATAAACCTGGCCCCTTACTCCTATACCACCTGATCTGGCTCCCACTAAAATCACTAACAAAATATCCATTGAATTGATTGATATGTCAGGCTCACTGAGTGACTTGCACAGTTTCCCCAGAACCTTGACTCCCTGTCCATTCCTCCAAGCCCTAGGCCATGATGTATCTCAAACATATGTACTTGTAATATTCTCTGTGCAATTATTAATACTGTAATTAACATTTTCTTTTTCAGTTACAAAAAGTTACTTTCAGTTATTTGGATATTTAAACAATAACAGGTGCATTCTTTTTTGGAAGATATAAGTATATATTTCCACACATTGTATTTAACTCTAGATATAGATATGTATTTAATAACATGAATAGTAGCCGCACAGTTGAAAACCTGGGAGAGAATCTTTTTTTTTAAAGAAGGCTTGTTTAGTAAGTGTCATTAAAAGTTAAAAATCAAGCCAAGTTGGAAGACTGTACGTACTATGCCTTACTGTGCACAAATTTTCTATCATACCATCAATTTTATTCGCTGATGAATAGTTTGATAAAAAGAGAGTCCATATTTCAAGGTTTGAGCATAGAGGGAAGCTTCCCCCCACCCCCTTTTTGTGTGTGTGTGTGTGTGTGTGTGTGTGTGTGAGTGTGTGAGTGGTTGGTTTCTAAATGTTTGAGCTGTATTTGCAGTACTTTTTAAATAAAATATATATGGTTACCAAACTAGAATTTTACATAAATCAAAAAGTATACAAAACACAGTGTTTTTTAATTTTGTCCCTTTAATGTAAATTGCATCCTATAATGCTTTACAGAGTTAAATAATGTCATCACAGAATTAAATAATAAAGATTAGCAAAGCAATTGAGAAGTTACACAGTGCCACCAAAGGAGAAAAGCCACATATTGGTCAGACATTTGAGAACAGATGGAGAACTGATGAGCTGGAAGAATGCAGGAAGGCTGTTGCAGATGTCAGCAGCTGCAGAGGAGAAGGCACTCACATCAGCTGTGGGGAGACTGTGTGACGGGACCTAGAAAAGACCAACTCAGGATGGGTGGAGGAAGGGAGGTATAAAGAAAAACTATGAATAATCCCATTAATGAAGTATTGCTTGTATTTTTCCACAGTATAGTCCAGAAAGGGTTGCTACAATGCGTCCGATTGTTGCTGAATCTGATGAATAAGTTTTTTCTGTGGCACGCATCCAGCCAAATCTTACTGCTGGGCTTTAAGTGATAGAATGCTCTTCCCTTGGCCACAGAAGTGTGATTTTTCTTTTCGACCACTAAATTAGCAATAGATCTGAATTTCTGCACAGGAATCCAGACTGCAGATTCTTCCAAATGTCTAAATCGCAATAGATCATCACATATCAATTTTTATTTGCACAGTTTTAGATGCAATCGACTCTGAGACAAATATTGATGGATATGTCTGGAATATTGCTATGGGGGGAAAATGAAGCCTTCTTCACTATTGCATTTTAATACATGACAGTGAAATCCCTTAATATGATAGCATTTTTTCTGGCTACTGGTAACTAAACCATGCAATTAAATTTACAATGAATTGATCTACATATTTCATTGGTAAAACATCTATTTTACAAGCAGTAAAACGTTTACTGTATTCCTCCCCAAGGTTCATTTTCTGTCAGCATCTTCAGCTCCTTGTCCTATTTGTCACATACTCTGCATAGCTTCCTTCAAACACTCACCCTAAGCACTGTACACATCAGCAAATATTTTCTTATATCCAGATCTACCCTTGAACATCAATTCCAAAGTTGGCAATTTAGGTTAGGCATAATCAGGATTGAAGTCCTTATGAATGGCTCTAGCATCATAATGAAAAGAATTAGAATTAGAATTAAATTTAGGCAGGCTTAGGTTTTGAAGTTGTTTCTTGCCCAAGGCCCCAATTCAGCAAAGCACTTAGGGTTAGATTTGTAAAGGTATTTAAGTGCCTAAAGAGGCAAATAGTGCCACCCAATATTATCATACAAATTACGCACAGATCTTGGTCTTATTGGTTTTTTCCTAAATATGAATTCAAATTATATGGATTTACCCAGCCTGCCTAATTGGAGTTTGCAAAATTATTATTTTATACTCGTGTCATTAAAACTGCTGAATGTTTTTGTATCTAACTGGGAGAAGCCAATAAAGACCATTCTTCCCCTTTAGCCTGAGGCTTCACTTATGGCTTTGTCACAACTCTTAGCAGATGATCCACCCAGGTCCAGGAGCTTTATCTAACACATGCTTTCCAGCTGTAGCAGCAGCACTTGCCTTCACAAGCTGGAATGAAAGCTGTGAGAACATGTGAATTTTTTCTTAATATATGCAACTTTATTTTGACATGTGTGGATGTGGCCTATTGTTGGAGGAGAGCAGCTGGGCATTTTTCCGTAGGAATTTAGGGTTCCTTGCAGAGGATGCTGGTTTACTGCATGTGTTTTACTGAGGTTTTGAATCCTGTATAGCCTTACTGGAGTTGTGATTTCATTATCATTTACTCTCCCTCATGAGTATCAGTGTTGAGGGAGAGCACTTACTATTGGTCTCCATTATAGGATTTAGGATCTTCAGAAGTAGTTGCTTTGATGTCATACAGTATGGATGGATACAGTTATGCTATATGGTATGGTTTGATACACTGTAGATTTAACAACACACGCTTAACTTGTAAGGAAGAGGGATGATTATGACTTTGCATTTAAGCTCTTTTTTTCTGGGGTTGGTGGGGCTATTATTGACTAGAGAGGATTTGCCAAGTAACGCCAGTAGAGTTCCATATTAACTCTTTGATATTTGATTTACCAACCAGTCACCGAAGCAGGAGGAACAAGGCGATTTGACAATTTCCCTTTTTAGTCTACAATTCAGCAAGGTAGTTAAGGATATGTTTATTTTTTAAGCACATGAATAGACCCTCAGAACTCAATATTTACAAAATGAAATCATTTAATATCTCATGTTTACAGCTGTTGTCCTTTCTTCATATGCACTGCACTTCTGCAATGTTGATTTTTGTTTGCTCAGTTGAACTCTGTCTGAAGCTGACATTCCAAACAGTTGTGAAATGACCTCTTAAGTATCACAAACATGATAACTTTTCCCTTATTGGTTAAGTTAAGACACACTGCTAATCCATGGCTACAAAAGACAGAGCATGCTGCATTGTCATGGTGCCATTGTGTCTAGGCACTGCTGCCTGTATGGGGCATGACTCCATACCACTGAAATGTTATTGTTGGCTTCATTGGGAGCAGGATTGGGCACATGGTCCTGAGCAACCCCTGGAATATCACCACTTCAAAGTGACAGACAGTACCTATTCTGTGGGGCTACATCTACATATTACACCTCTTGGGAGCAAGCAAGAATCATTCCATCTGCCTGCTGTTGTAATGGTGGGTGGTTGGCCTCACCATGACCACTTTAAAGGCTATCTGGCCTTTCTCTCAATGTTATGAAGTTGGGCTGACCATCAACCCTCTTACGAAGACTTATTTTCCAATCATCAGATAGAAGTAGATGAAGCCTGACCTTAACGACTGAAGAACAAGGCTGACTGTCTTTTTAAAGTACCTGGCCATTGTTTGTCCAAAGAGAAGAAAATGCCTGTCAGTAATAAATGAAAAGAGGGAAGACAATCACAAAGGGGAAAATAAGGAAGGAGAGTTCTGAAATGAGCTGCAGATACCTGAAGAGAATCAGGATTCCTTTGAATCTCAGTAGAGAGAAATCCTGTGCTATTATCTGGACTAATATTAATGGGGAAATTGAATGCCAGGATCCAGTTTTGTTGCACACCATTATAATTAATGCAAATTGAAATGATAAACATAAATCATTTAGATTTGATCAATAGAATAATTTGTTGTTCCACCCAAAAGTTCAATTTTAGCTCTCAGCTGGGTGATGATCCATGTCAATAATTGTTTTTCCCTTCTGGATTTCGAAAGCATAACTCATTTTCAGTGGCAGAGCTGACTGTTTCACAAAGCTGCTCACTCTTAAGATCCTCTCTGACCTCACTATGCTGTATGCATCCAAACACACAGCTTTTCCATGAGCACTTGAAAATGAATAAAAGGCTAGGGGCAACGAAGAAAAGTAGCATTTGTTGCAGGGTGTGGTGGTAATGAGATACACCCTTAGCTCACTGGCTGGAATGTCTCAGGTCAGCATGACTAAAAGCTGTTCAGTGGTATCTCCTGGTAGTCTCCCTGTACTTCCTCAAGGATTGAAGCAATATCACAAAGATCAGAGAGCTGGATGATGCCCTCACGGAGTTTCCTGTAACGTATCTGGGTATTATTACACAGGCAAGTGCTAAGGTCCACAGATTCAACAGACACCAAGCAGTGACTGCAAAAGAAAATTGAAGCATTCTGTTAGTCCCTAACTAGTACCTCCTCAGCAACTTACTGACAGGATAATGCGGGAAAGATTCTCCTACCACTGCTCATGTGAAGGGATGCTGTCTCTATGGTTGTTAGTATGACGAGAGTGTCAGACTAGAGCTATGGAGGAACACTGTCTCTAGGGCTGTCAGATCATGGAAATAATTGCCAGGTGCCACAGGTTTCAAACCCAGGCCTGTGGGGTTACTGAGGGAACACCTCATGAGCTATGCCACCATACCCCAAAGTTAGATGAGGGAACTGCACTGATAACTACAAACAGGGACTGTACTCATTGATGCAGTGGGAGCAGCTGTCTGCTAGCAGCACTGCTGATTGGGCCCCTCTTAGCATAAAGCTTCCTGTTCCTGCCACACGCCCAGTTCTGAGCAAACTCTCAGGGCCCATAACATGGGCAGTCTGACCTAGTGGCTGAAGCCCAGATTAGCATCAGAGTCAAGAGCCATCCCAATGGTCAGAGGCAGAAGCCACGCCATGGGCTAAACCAGAGTCACAAGCCACACTAAGGGTTAAAACGGAAGCCAAGACAGAAGCCATGCCAAGGTTTGAACCGGAGCTAGAAGTCATGCCAAGGCTCAAAGCCAGAATCAGGAACTGGAGTTAGGGCAAGGAAGCAGTGGCCAGGAACAGGGAACAGAGTGGTAACAGGAAAAAGGAGCAGGAACCAGGCAGAGAGCCCTCAGGGGTCTGGCAAGCAGCAGGTCTAGTGACTGACCCCTGGTTTCCGCTCCTTGTTCGTGTTACCATGCCCTGGCCCTAGTCCCTGCTTCCTCTCCCTAGCTCCAGTTACTGGTTCCAACTTGACCCTGGGCGTGATTTCTGACTCTGGCTGTGACCCTTGGCATGGCTCCTGACCCCAACATTACTCCAGACTCCGACCGCCCACATTATAGGCCCTGACAAGAAATGGTAAAGACTGATTTGGATACCACAGGAAACAGAATGGTGCCCAAGAGTCCGATCCTGACCTCCCCTCACAGGCATAGCTCCCATTGAAATCCATGTCCCAGTGAGGCTCAGGATCTTGCTCCGTAGGTCAGATTCACTCCATTGTAAAGGCCCTGCACTCCACTTAAGTCCCACAGTTGGAACTTAAATGGAGCTTGAGTGAAGTCTAATACCTTGTGCTTATCCTCTTCCCTGGGGTGTGTTTCACCCCATGTGAATAAACATCAGATGAATGATTCATATGCATAAGGAACAGATTCCTGGAAGGACATGAACCCGTGCTTTCTCCAAACTAAGGTAGCAGGGTTACCACTGGTGCTATGCTTGTATTCCCCCTTCTGCAAGAAGCATTAAGCTCCATTATGAAGAGGAGTATATAATAAATGGAGACCTACCAGCTCTGCTAGTAATGTAAATCTGAGGTAAAACTTCTAATTTTACTCTTGGGGTGAAGACTGGGATTGAAGAAGAAAGCGTTTCCTTTGCTGAAATTTACTGCAATTGTGGAAAAACTAGGAATCACAAGTCTCTTCTCAACAACGGAAACAAGTCAGGTCCAGGTTTATGAAGTGCCTGTTCAGCTCTGGCAGAGGAGGGGTAGCTTGGCAGAAATAGTAAAGCTGATTAAGGAGCAAAGAAAGTGCCAAATC